CACGAAAAATGAGTTTAGTTCGTCAGCGGTTACATCGGGTTGAACTGTTTTATTTTCTTTTTTACCAGCTATGACTGATTTGATTCCCTGCCACACCTTGTTGGGGCCGCGTTCACTAATTTCCCGCTGAATCACGTTGCGCCGGTCACGGCGAACGGCAGAACGAACTGAACGATTCAGGTCTTTATAAACTGTGGATTCCCGCCCGTGCAGTCGTAGTGCGGCGCGCCGTTGGGCCATGATATCACGGGTGGAGGCTGAGACGGGGGGAGCGGTGGGGTTTCTGATGGTCAGGTTCTTTAAAGGGGCATGGTCATCTAGGACGGGTAGGAAATGGGTCAGAAAAGCTTGCCATTTGTCATGCACGGTCATTGCAGTGAACACGTCGTCCCACACGATGGACATCAAGTCATGATTTAGGGACGCGACATCGACACGGTTGATTGAGCGGGTTGTGATGACAGTTGCAGTTTTACGCTGTTTAGGTACGTTAACTAGCACGTTTACCAACTTGTGTGGGCTAAAGTGACAGTGTTTTACATGACAGTCGAGCACGAGCTCACGGGTTTTGACAATACATACGTCAAGGAGTGAGCCGGAGCTGTACGTGGGTGCAGTTACAAGTTGATCGAGAGAGTAGTCCGATAAAAAGTCACTTAGGTGAATACGCGCGCGGAAACTCCGGTGTTTCAGCAAATCGCAGTTTAGGTCGCCGCAGATGACAAACGGAACCTTGGGGTGGTCGATCAGGATCCGTTGCAGCTGCGACTCGAGATCGTTGAAATCAGCGCGTAGGGCAGTGTCCGAGTAGCGGGGCGGTCGGTAGAGCGAGCAGACAATTAGCTGACGATCTTTCTCCAGTTTTAGGAGGATCCACTGGGATTCAAGCTGACTCTCACGGCACGGCGGAACTGTGAGTTTTAGCGCTACAGAGGTGATAGAGTTTTTGGTAGCAATGGCGACTCCACCGTAGCCACTGCCGTCGGGACGATCCGCACGGCTGAGTGAGTACCCGGGTAGCACAACCAGCCGACTGGGCGTGCTGGGTCGCAGCCAGGTCTCGGAGAGTAGGAGAACGTCGAGGTCTTGACTGCTGACCACATCGGTCAGTTCGAGCAGCTTCGGCTTAAGGCTTTGAATGTTGAGCGCGCCGATAAGCAGTCCGGTATTGGACAGACGGTCGGATTGTAGAGTCGCCGCCTCAGTACGACGCAATTTTTTTGTTTTATTTGGCGCTGCCCGTCACTTGCTATGTCGGTCCCCGGGGGGGGGGGGGGAAGGGGATTTCATAATCGGTTGTCAACCGACCTGGATGAAGAGAGGTGGGGAATAATCGTTCGAAATTGAATGCCTTCCGAAAATGTGCCAAGTTAGAAGACAAGGCGATCGCTAGACATACTTGAAAAACAACTCATATTCGGTGTGACGACAAAAACAGTGACGCATTTCAAGCTTGTTTTACGATCAGCGCAGAACAAAAAAAAGGTTTAGTACCTATCTGACAGAGGTCAAACTGTACGCGGTAGAAGAAATGTTCATTATTGATGGTAATGGCTGACTTTGTAGACAAAACGACAGCCAGCCTTTTCGTGATTAGCATCTCCTTGTTCCTAGTTGCTATCCATCCTTTACCTCGTCATCATCTGTTATTATTTATACAGTGACGATGAACGGAGCTGTTGTATCGGTCGAGCCGAGTCATGTAATTATTAGCCGTGCTCGGTGTAGCGGTAACAATAATCCCCCTGTGTCCTCTGTATAATACCCGCACGCGGGTTGTGCCAACGGGCGTTACTCTGCAGTTGTGCCGGCCTCCGCTCGAGGCACCGTGACCTTGTTCCTTTCAGACCTCGAGTCTGGCCACCAACGAACCCCCAGTCTCTGAAAGGCTTCGTCACTGTTCATTGGGAAATGGCGTGCCGCCGCTACCGAAGTGATGGGGAGGGAGGTAGTAGAAAGGCCTCCACGCCAGCTCCTGTGTGTACTTACAATGTACATTCTATAGTGCCTCTTGTGGGTAGGTCGGTGTCGAAGCTGGCGCTAAGAGGCTTGACCAATCTCTGCCATCCTCCCTCCTCCCCTCTGAGAGCTGTAGTAACCACCTCTCGTCGGTGAGAGGCTCTGGGAGCTGTAGTAACCACCTCCCGTCGGTGAGAGGCATGTGCTCACTGCTCAGTGCGCAGTCAATGGCGCATATTAAACATGGGCCTTCCTGATGAAGCTTTGTCGTTTATCGGAGCTATAGCTGTGCCGGTCACTCACAAGCTTTCTAATTCACCTTAATTAACCAATTAGGCTTAATTTGCATGGATCCTAGTTTCAATCCAAAATCACTGTGATATAAGAAACTCGACAAAACCGATGCTGCAAGGCCATTAACCGTATTGTTGTCTAATTAAGTCGGGTTATTCTCGACCAGTAACTGATGAACCTTGACCTTAATCGGTAGCGCACGGTTCTACCCCCAACTGAGGCTTGCATGCCGTATTGTAATGGTTTGTTGTTAGCATATAGCAGGTATAAGTAGCTGTGAAACAGCTTATCTTTTTCAAAGAGGCTTGTTGCATCATAGCAAGCTGCGCAACTTAAAATACAGAAGCGTCACGACTGTTGCTTATGCCTTTAAGCGAATGCTTTGACAAACGGTTAAGTGGCAAACGTGACTGCCTCTTGAGCTGTCATTTGTGTCTGATGAGTGATGAAGCTCCATCCCTTTATTTGCCCGACCGGTCAGGCTGGCATATTGACACGTAGAGAAGAATCAGCGATAGTAACCTTTAGTCCTGTTAGAGGACATCTCAGTGCAGCGGTTCAGTCTTCGATCAGTGCAGCAGGCACGGGCCGGAACCGCGGAAAGTTTGATTGACACATGTCAATTGGATACGTTTGCAGAGGGTGCAATTGAAGTTTATCTCATGATATATCGATTTGGGTAAATGTTGAACATCCTCGGACAATAGGATATTTTATGACATGCACTCGTTCAAATGCCTGCCGCATTTTCCTGCAGCCGGGCAAAGCTCCCGGTTGTAGGCACTGCTCTGTGTGCGTGTGTCTTCCGTTCCTTTGTTCATTCGGGCTGTTATTCTGCACGGTGCAGCTCAGTTACTCTATTGGTGAGGTATTTTCACCAGATCCGGCTCTGTGTGTATCTAGCAATGAGTGAGTCACTGCCATACACCACTCGACGAGCTGGGGAATAGTGCTGTCTGCCGGCCCGCATCGGTACCTCACTTTAAATCATATGGCGTTTGTACTTTCCGATCGAGTGACATTGCGTCGGACGGACGGAAAGGACGGGACGTGGTTATTGGATTAAAAAATCTGAGCTAAATGCATAATGCAACAATAGTGCTCGTTCATGAGCATTCATTAGGACGAGCACGGCTTGCTTTGCGTTAAAAAGGGCTGATTTCCTTGGTGCTGCTCAGCTCCGGGTAATTGTAGCACCTACTGCGGTTTTACTTTCCCCCTCCTGTGCCCTTATTCCTTTTTCCTATATCATGAACACTAGTGTATTTGGTGGGACGCTTTGCAGTAGCCGGACCACCTGGTTACACCGCTACCTCGCGATGTCCATAACACAAGTCTGGGGTAGGCATCAACTAAGCCTGAAGCCCTTTCAATTGTTATTTGCTGTAAATGGCACAGTGTTTATTGTCTAAATATTCCGTACTTGACCATTATATTCACATCCATCTTAGCTCTGCAACATTATATTCCACAGATCATTTATTTCCTCTCTATTTCCGGCATGCACCGAGAAAGTTTCATAGTTCCCCGGCGCCGCGCGGTCTGCTCGAATGTGGGTCTCCGGCGCACCTTCGCCCCACCCCTGTGACCTCACTGGGCGCAGCCAATGATGTCTGGGCTCGAACCCGGCGCATGTTACGCTGATGGGGGAAGGTTAGAGTTGATGGAGAGCTACAGCCACTCCTCTCTGGCTTCTGTCATGTGACTGAGGGTTTCGGCCGATCCGCGTGCTAGTGACTTAGGACAGAGAGCGGGGCCCGGTCAATGTGCACTGTGCAGCTTCTGATCGGCCGTGGCTTAGGTAGCTTACAAACTTTATCACAAGCAGCTTGGACCAATTTTCTTTTGGCATCGCCCTTAAGAAACTTCTTTCCTTGATTTATTCGGCCCCATCCTAAAGTAGCCGATAATATCACCTTCATGACTGATGTGTTCCTTCCGGATGTGCTTTTTAAGGACACCGTCCCTCCTGGAGCAATCCTGATTTTTATCAGCATATCAGCCTTGCAAGGATGGATTATCCCCCCAAGTGGCGATTTCATAATCGTCAGTACACCGTGACAAAGAGCGTATTGCCGCCCGTGTTGGCTTAGGCCGTGCCGTGGCAAGGCCCCTCGTCCGTCGCACGATTCTATGCTAAGCTGCAGGATAGCAGCGTAAGGACGGGCGACAGGGGACGGCAGCCTTGGTGAGGTAACAATGGAGTGTATGGAATACGTTGCATGCAACGTTCGCCGTAAGTGAAGGACGACTATGAAACTTTATCTGTGGGTCTAATTTAGGCATTCATTTTCATGACCCAGCGCTAGTGAATTTTACCAAGGCTAGCTTTGACGGAGTGATGAAATGTTTCGCATATTTTCAGTACCTATCTTTTTGACTTGTCGTTTCTTCTTGATTCGTTTGTAACTCTCTGAATCCATCGTGCATCCGCTACGTGTCTTCTAACGAAGGTCAATCTACTTAGTGATTGTTCTAGTGGTCCATGCACCGCGCACCTAGCTTCCTCCTCCCTCCCCGCTGCAGCCCTTCCCCCTCCACTCCACGAGCCGTGTGTAATCCTCTGCTCCACTGTCAATGCTGGGTCGGTGCGGGAGCAGACCGGCCCAGCTGGCGGCCTACGGAGGCCGACCGACCGCTCCTCTCTGACCTCTGGAGGTCGACCTGCCTCCCGGCGCCCGGCAGAGGGCTCTCCCGTCGCCGTCCGGTCCGACCCGGCTCGGCGCGGCGCGGCGCGGTACGGACTCAGTGGCTTTTCCAGTGGTGGTGGCGCAGGGCGGTTCGCGGTCGGCGCGATCACGAGAGGTAGTGGTGTTTGGTCGAGAGGTGAACTGCAAACTGAGAGAAGGATTGATTGCTGATCTGAGTGGTGAGTACTGCAGTGGTGTAGTTTCGAGAGTATCGTGATCGGCATATGCCTCGCGCTTGTTTGTGTGTCGCGATACGTTTGTGTGGGTTTGAGTCTTGATGGATTTCGTGTGGAGAGCGCGGCTCTGATGAGCCCTATTCAGCACAGCACCGCGTCAGCCGTCTGGTGGCTCTATAGGAGCGCCAGGTGCTACAGAAGTCTCTGCTCGAGCAGTCAGCGAACGCCCAGGCGAGGAGGGGACTTGTTACTTGGACCGTATCGCCTCTGCCACCTGCGGGAGGCGGTGTCTGCCGTGCTCCTGGCACGACTGCGTGGGCGTCTGTGCCGGTCATAGACCTCCGCCCCGGGCTCATCGGGAGTTTCTGGCCTCCCTGAGGGTTTCTGGTGGCCTGTGACCGGTCACTGGCATTCGCCTGCCCTCGGGGCTCTCAGACGAGCTGTGAGCAGTCAAGCTGGGCCGTCGCCGCTGGCTGTTCGCGCTTCCAGTGCGGACTGAGCGATAGACGCCGTGTGACGGCCGCAGCTGTTCACTGTGGTCAGCCGTGTACGGTGCTACGAGCTGGTGGACTCTCCATTGTTCCGCTTCAGTGAACATGACCAGAGACTTCACGCTATAATGTGTCTGATCGGTCTGCGACTTCTTGTGAAGTCGAAGCGGCGAGCAATTTAGGTCAAGGTCCCTCTTACGAGAGCTCGTGCCATCGTTCTGTAAGGGCGTGACTAGAATTCCCTTAGGTTACGGCTACGCCCTGTATTTATCGCTATAATTTTCAAGCAAGATTTGCTTTTATTAGTACCTCTTTTTAATTTGAAAAGCTTGTGCGCATGTTTGGCAAGCCGCTAATGTTTCAAACCCTCGTCTCTAAACTAGACGGCTCGCCCGGACGACACGCTCTGGGTCCGTCGCCGTCCTTTTCTCCTTCCTTTCCCGCTGCGCCGCCCTGTCATCACATGTTTATGAAGCCCGGTGAGCGCTGGGGCTCCTCAGAGCCGCCGGTCCCGGCCGCCGGCGGCGCATTCCATCTCGATCAGCCCCGGCTCCTCAAACGCTACCATGGAGCCCTCGGGCCGAGTCGGGAGCTGGCTGCCGTCTGTTGGCGCGGTGGTGTAACAAAGGCTGCTGCTACTCGTGGAGGGAGACGACCCGACTGTCATTGCGCAATGCACTCAGCTTGCGATGACTCCGTGGTACCAGCTATATAGTGAGTGTCTGTTTGAAGGAATGAGTTTCTCGCTTTCATGTCCGTATTTTCTCGACATTACACTAAATATGCATGCCTGTTGAATTATTTTTGCATTTGCGGGGTATCATAAACCAATTTTGTGATTAGCTGACTGCCGTAGTTGGTCCCGCGCTTTGACCCAATCTCTTTGGCACACACTGCATAACTCGGTCGCGCGTGCCACCGATGCTTTGATAGAACACGGAGGGCCGTGCTGCACGGTCCTCCGTGCACCATGCCTTCGTTACGAGGCTCGCTGTGACATACAGTCAGCAAAACAGAGGTGATGAACCATATCCGAGATGTCGCCCTCTTTGGCCATCCCTTGATCCAAACATCGCATGTCCTGTCTGTCGTATTTCCACTTTCTTGGCTTATATTTTTATGTGTGATTTGATGTATGAAGTCGCCTGACTGAACCCGTTGTTTTGGGTGAATGTGGTGGACGTATGTGACCGTTACCTTCGGTTCACCTCTGTGTTGACCATTTGGCCTCGATCAGTACCATGGGAGAATGACTCGTTTTCGGGCCTGTAGCTCTCATCCATCAGCTTTGAATTCATTACGTTTGAACTCACCCTTTCGTGCAATCACTAGTTAAGACTTGGTACAGAAACAGTTATGCTTCTTTAATCGGGCCCCGGTCAATTGAGTGCATTGCTCCACTTCTAGACCAGTTTAAGATGCCATTAGTCATTGTCGTCGTTGCTGAGAGATTAAGTTGTTGATAAATGTCGCTACATGGCCGCGACCAGTGAGATCTTGCAAAGCCCTGAACTGTGACGTCTGGGAAGACCATCTCATTAGGTTTATTTTTGTGTTCTGATAAACTACGATAACGTGAAGGGTGAAACAGCATTATTTATGTTGAGCCTCTATTCTTCGACAATTTATTCAGCACTGCCTTACTACATGTATTTATATGTATATTGTATATGTATTTGTATATGCATTTATACCTAACTACACTTTACATATCAGGGACTTCGTTGAGTGCTCATATCACTAATCACACAACCCATTTCTCGGGTGCACGGAGTTTGTGGGTGGCCGAACCCGAGCCGATATCCGGGAGGGAGATTGGATAATACCATCACTTCCCGGCGGCTAATAATGAGCACCCGTCAGGTCAGCCGCCGCGCCGCCGCCCTCCTGTAATGGCTCGCAGCCTTCCATCAGTCTCACCACCCCGCTGAGTCTCACTTGTGGCGTCCCTCCGGGTCTCGGCACCTATTGGGCCGATGTTCGACCCTCTCACTGGATCTTCCTGACTGAATAAGTACATAGTTAGATGTCTCATACGTGGTGGGCTCTCGGCTATATTTCTGCATGTGCTTGGACCCTGCAAGTTATCTACACCGTCTAGCTAACTCCCCTGTGATGCCTCTCTCATTCAAATGCAGTACCTAGCCCTTTCCATAGTGGCGGAGCTCCTGTGGGATTTTCCATAGTCTGCGCGCCACCGTGGGTCGGTCTGGGGATCGTCCGGGCACCTGTCCCCGTCTCCACTGGACAGGTATGACGCGCAGGTTTCGGAGAATTCCCGGCACCGATCGCAGCAGCAGCGGAGGCGGCAGCGGGAACAGCGCCCTCATTCCTGCGGCATAATCCGCTGACGTGTTTTTCCCGAGTATGCCGCGTCCTTGGGCAGCGCCCGACCCTCTGTACTGGCGGCGGTTCTCCCCTCTCGACCACAATCGGCCGCCTCCCCTCGCGCCTCCCTCCCTCCCTCCCTCTGCGTGCCGGCCCGTGTCGCCGGCGGCGGGGACCCGCTGAGACGCCCCGGTCGACGGAGGCGGACACGGCAGGTGTTGCCGACCAGGCACGTGATGCCCGGCGGCGGTCTGCTGGCTTCCGTCCGCCACCTGCCCCTCGCCACTCCCCTCCTCCCGCCACTCTCTCCTCGTGCTGCTCCTCTGCCGCACTCTGTCCAGCGGAACCCACCCTGGTGTGAATGACCGCTGGTTGATGCGTCTCGCGTTGGGCGTAGCAGTTAACATCTCCTCTGTTGGCCTTTCTCGATCTTTCCATCTTGATTCTAGTTACGGCTGTACTGGCACCTTGTCTTGCTCTACTCGCCTCCCTGTGACCTAGTCTGGTCGTTCCCTGACCCAGACCCTGCCGTCCCAGGCTCGCCGACAGTTCCGTCTCACCCCAGCCCGTACCGGCGCGGCGCACCACCGCCACCTCACGTCCGCTGATTACGTGCTGTGTGCGCGGCCGAGCGTCGACCCTGCCTCCGTGTGTGCTGAGGAGAAACCTGTTCCTTCGGGAGGTCGTTCAGCCGGCGGAGTCCGCGGTGAGGTCGTGCCATAGACCGGTCGCCGTCCGGTCGCCGTTCGGTCGCCGCTCGGTCGCCGCTCGGTCGCCGTCCATTCGCCGTCCATTCGCCGTCCGGTCGCCGTTTGGTCGCCGTATGGTCGCCGTCCGGTCGCCGTTCGGTCGCCGTCCGGTCGCCGTTCGGTCACCGTTCGGTCGCTGTCCGGTCGCCGTTCGGTCGCCGTTCGGTCGCTGTCCGGTCGCCGTCCGGTCGCTGTTCGGTCGCCGTATGGTCGCCGTTCGGTCGCCGTTCGGTCGCCGTTCGGTCGCCGTTTGGTCGCCGTTCGGTCACCGTTTTGTCGCCGTTCGGTCGCCGTTTGGTCGCCGGACGAAGAGGTCACCTGTCAGACGAGAGGCCCCGGGTCCGGGCGGCGTGTCACGGCCTGGTACGGCCGAGCTGACCCGGCGGTGCAGTGGGAGGTCGGGTCACACCTTCGTGGCGGGCAGCGGAACAGGAGATGGGTGTCCATGATTAGTGAGGTTTCGGGTGTCTCAGGTGCTGTTTGAGTTGATTTGTGACTGCTTGTGGGATTTGGGTGCGTTGTTGGATTGACTCACTAGTGCACGGGGTGTTGTGATGGGGGCGGTACTGGTTTGTGAAGGTCACTGGTTGGTGGTGGACGGAACAGGCAAACACAATGCTCGATTGCTGCGGCTGCTCCCATCGGGAAGGTCGCCCAATATTGACAGAAGAGACAAGTGTGTGCGGTGCATTTACAGCCAACAGAACGATGTCCGCAATGGCCAATGGCCAATGTTTGTTGTTACCTGTAATTACAAGTGGGATTGTGGCTGGACCACGCCCTCATAAAACTGAACTCCGCAGGCAATTAGCGGTCTCAGCGAAAGCATTGATCTGCTGAATCGAAAGGAAGTCATCAAATCAACTTGTCATAAAGTCGAGCAGTCGCCTTATACCCCATAAAAAAAACTAAAGCCTCACGTCAGACCAGCCCTTTCCTCTGCAGCCACGGTGCCCCTCTCCGTCCGCCGCTCGTCCGCCCGTGACCCAGTGCCGATCCGCCTCGTGCTCTGCGCCACCCCGGGGGCGCCGGTGGCCCAGTGGCCGGCTCCACGGTACCAGTCTCTGCCGGTCGTGCTAACGGACCTGGCGATCGGACAAAAAGTGCGCACCCACTGCACGCCGGCCGCCGGCAGTGATGGTCATCAGTATGCAGGCTGGTGGCTGCAGACTCCGGGTAACTCGTGCCGGCGCGGTGCCGTCCTCTGGCGGTCCGAGTGACCGCCGCTGACCCAGACGGTGACCTAGAGTGGCCGCCCGGCCGCGGCAGGCGACACCGTCGCCAATAGCGCCGTCAATGGCGCGGCCGATGGGTTACTTTCATTTCCGGTGATCCAGACGGCCGGGCCGACCCTACCCGAGTGGCGGACCGGGTGGCTGGGGAGGTCGGAAGTCCGCTGTCACGGCCGACTGAGGCCGCGGCGCCAGCGGCACTA